CAGAGATGCTAGAGCACTCGTATGGTCAGTGAGGAATTTACCTGAGGCTCAGTCCAGCTTCCTCTTGAAGTTGCTGGGATTTGGGCTTGACTCATATAAACAGCAACTCTGATGTGTCAGAACTGTTCTCATCCTAGCTTTAGTGATATTTGCACCTGTCATAAATGGTGCGAAGAAATGGTTCTGGATGAGAAGTGCAAAACATCCCTTTGCTAAGCGATATTGTGTCTATCTGTCTACCCTCCAGAGGTGAGCAATGCGATGGTTTGCCCTCCCCATTTACAAACCTACAGTTGCTCACTGTAGCAATGATGATCAGGAGTTGTCTTGTTCTGGGGTTTTTTGTGGCCTTTTTTGCTTTTTCTTTTTTTCTTTTTTTTTTTTTTTTCCCCTTGTAAGAATGCATTCAGTTAAGGAGGATTTGGTTTTTATCTCTGTGTGGCCAGACTAACCAGCAAAAGAGGTGAGTGAAACACAGTTCAGGTGCTTGGTGCAGAAAAAAGGGGTGTAAGACCCTTGATAGGATCTGAGAGTCTTACTAGTTGAAAAAAGAAACACAGTACCAAGCAAAACAAGACTGTAAAGAGGTGTGTGTTGGTCACCTCTTGTAGGGTGTTGTGCCCATGCACAGGAGGTCAGTACTGGGGAGTTTTTATAGTTCTGTAGCCATTATCCAGTCAGACTGGTTTAATCTTACATTAAGTGAAGTGTGTTGTACTTGATCCTTGCCACAGCAGGTACATCCTGCTTGGGCTTTGGAAATCATCTGCTTATCTGGGAATTTTACTCTCGGAGATCAAGGTTCAGCTGTGCTCCTGTGGTTTATGTTCTGAGTATGTAAACCCTTTGCTTTTATGTCAGCACACAATATACCACGTACTTCCATCTGTGGTATTATCTGTGACCATGGCTTGGTTTTGTGTCATTTTTACATTATGATAGAAATGTTTTGTAGCTCTGCATCACATCAGTGTTCAGTACCACAGCTCAGCTTCAGCTCAGCCAGGACACAGAAGGTCCATTTCATCCTTTGGTGATTAGGTTAATCAGTTTGGCCAACTGACATCTCTTGCCATCTCTAAAAGAAGCCACCTTCCAACCCTTCACAGCTGTCTGTGTATCTGGTAGAGGAGAAAGCAAGTGGAGCTCACTGCTACTAGAGGCACCATGGGAAAGGGAGCTGGGAAGGGGACAATGTGATGACACTGTGGTTGCAGCAAAATAGAGGTTCCTTAGTGTTGTGCTGCTTATTGTCAAGTTGTTAACAGCTATTCCAAGAACCTAAGAGAAATTAACTCTTCTTGAAGGAGGACAGTATTTTGTTATGTGACCTAGACACAGAAAAATATGGTGCTTACAGGTGATTTGATGGGAAACTGGGTGGAGGTGCGTACTGGCTTAAAAGTCTTTCATTTGTGTATAAAAAAGTCTATATATTTAGTACCTAGTATTTTAAAATGACACTTGCAGAAACCCCAGTGCATAACTTTATTTCTGCCTGTCAATCTGGAAATGACAGTTTCCTTACCTCTGAACAGAGTTCAGTGATGTTTAAAATGTTTGGACTTCTCATCAGTTGTTATCTCCTTCCTGTTTTCCAGCAATGTATGCTGGCAGAGAACCAGCTCTCTCAGAAGCTGTCATGAACATCAGTACCTTAGAAACAGGGCTTTTGGGAGTAGAGTTCTTCACCTCTTGCGCGCAGTGCTGCAGTGTTCAAAAGCACTGTTTTGGTGCATCCTCAAAGCTTAATGAATCAAAATGCAAGCGTAGGATGTTGGTAACCCCCTAGAAAGTTGATAATTTCTGTAACGTGGCTCTTTCTCTTCCCTACCTGGCGTGAACATTTGTTTTAAGATGTCTCATAAGCTCTGGGATGCTTCCAAGAACATGTATTTCAGGGAGAGAGTTGATGAAATTCCTTTGTATTTCAAATATAACCCAGTGTCTTGTGAGTCGGGGCTGAGGCTATTGGAAAGGAGGTCGATTGGTACAATCTTACAAAACACCAGCAAAACTCGTGCTCTGACCTGCAGACTTGGGGCGTAAGCTTTGCTGGTTTTTCATGAGGTAAATGGTAGTGTAGAATCAGACTACCTTTTCTTCTCTTAGCCCCATTTTAGAGCATACGTAGGGAGGCAGTTAAAGAAACTCATTATGGAGTATGTGAAAGCTGAGGGTGCTGAAAACTTAGGAACAGGTCGCTGCCATGGAAAGCTGCATTGTCTGTTCCAAGCTTTCTGGGTGCCTGTGTTACAGTGGGATGGGACCTGGTTTGCAGAGGTGCTGAGCTCTGTCAGAAATACCTGGGAAGGGGAGCTTGGTCCAGCAGCGAGCAGAGGTGTTTGACTTCCTCAGGTTTTCAGGCACCACCAGTTCATCACCACCTCCAACAATCTTTAAAGCCGTCAGCGCTGTCTAGTAGCCCTCTCCAAAGCTGCTGGCTCTGAGATGTTCTGTTCCCCTCAGGTGCCTTGCAAGGGACAGTTCGGGTGGTGTTCCAAGGAAGCTGGAGTTGCCCAGAGATGCTCAGTCTGGTTGAGGGTGGAGGGTGTTGATGTTCTGGCTGCCTGATCCACACCTTTTTTTACTCTATTCACCCAGCACATAAACAGTGTTCTTCCATCACAGTGAAGGTGATGTTTTAAAATACTTGTGACCCTCTTGGATGCTGTGAAGACAAATGGCCTAAAGAGGTGGGGGGGGAAAAAAGAGGGAGGTGACTAATTCTGCAGTCTCTTCCCTGTGAAGAGGATGAATCAGGGACAACTGACTGAACACATTTATCAGCTGCTTCTCTCCTGCGTGCCAAGTGGTGGTGAGGAGAAAACCAATCTGCAGTTGCGTAGTTGCACATCTCCTGAAGTTTTTCAGTGGGGAGGCCAAGCCAGGGTTCTGTAGGTGACTGATGTGGTGGTATTTATAACTCAACAGTATAGGTGACATTTTACAATAGAAGGGGATCCAAACAGTGAGCTACTGCCTGGTCCAAAAGAGCTCCTGGCACAATGGTTACAGTCAGGAGAAGGGCGAACAGCCGGTACAAGCTCTGTTTGCTGCAGTCAGTTAGCAGAAAGATGCTGTATGTGGCTCCCAAGCAATTCCAGGCATCTCCTGTGGCATAAAAAGATGTAAGGAAGTTGTCCTCTCTGCAACTGAGTTTTGTCAGCTGCTGTGGCAGCAGTAGCTTTTCCCCAAGGCTGTCCTCCATTGCCTAGAGAGGTACATGTTAAACTGCTGAGAAGATTTCTGGTGCTTAAATGGATCCTTGCTATTTAGCAAGAATCCCTTCTCTGGGCTGCAGGTGAGGCAGGGTATTTGTCTGTGTGCCTGAAAGTGAAATGTGCCTTGAATCTGTCTCTTCAGCTGATCCCAGCTGACCCTAAGTGTTGGACAGGCTTAAAGTGAAAGCAAGTTTTAGCTTCACGAGGCAAAGGGTTAAAGCACTGGTTAGAAAATGGGAAATTTTTGCAGAAAGGAAAAATAAAGAAACAGAAGAGGCAACAGTTAATACTTGGGAGGCATTGAACAGTGGCTTCTCTGAAGCTTATTGAAGAATAAATCTCCTCAAGAACAAAGTAGTCTTGAAGAGCTGCTGCTTAGACCCCTGTTAACCTCTTCTCTCAAGAAGTAAATTGAATTGCTGTTATAAAACTGGCAGACCTCATACCAGAGGGCTTTTGGCTTTGCTCAGCACTTCATCTCGGGGTTTACTGGCATTTACAAGGCAATACCTATGATGCATTCACACATGTGATAAGGTTCAAGGGTCACCTCCACTGCAGCAGTGTAGCAAAATTTTCCACAGTGGAATGAAGCTTAGATCTTCCAAAATCCAGTTACTTGAGCTTCGCCCAGCTGTTTCTCGCTGTTTGTCCCACAGTAAGTGGGACACTTAGAGGCAGAAGGTGGGAATGCGTGCTCCAGGGTTTGTGAACAGGCCAGGATCGCCACGCTGTAATGGAATAGGGTGGGTGGTGGGTTAGCTGGTTTTCTGTGCTGCAAGATCTTTCACGAGAAATCTTTGCAGTATTTTCTTTTGTGAAGTTTTGGAAGCTGATGTGGATTTAAAGAGCAAAACTCTGGATTTCTCCCTCTTTCAGCCAGGCAGATACGTGGCTTCAGTGGGGGGTGTCGGGGCTGTTCTGCAGGGTCACTGTGACCTGCCAGAGGAGAGGAAATTCTACACAATACAAATATCCTGGGTTTAGTGCAGTTTCCTCAGTTGTGGTTTGTTGTTTTTATTTGAATGGCTATCAAAAATTCTACTGGAAAATTTCTGGCATGTGCTATGTCCATACCCATTACTCAGGATAGGGGAGATGCAAGGAAAAACATAAAGTACCTTCAGCATTCCAGATTTCACAAAGGTAAATGGAGGGGCTTTTAGAAATATATTTGTCACATAACTAGTTCCTTTTTAAAATCGACTAGAATATTTACTCTTACTGCAGCAGAGCTTTGTTTCCCATACTCTTGGTGGTATATCTATGTAAAATAGCTGAAATCAGTGTGGTTTCCACTGTGCCTTATGGCAATGTCTGTACCTTGGTATTGTACCCATAGTACAATGGGATGTTTGCATTTTTCATTTGTTTCAGTAAGAGGTCTCACACTTTTTTCCATGTCAGGCTAATAGGAAAGCCTGGTTGTCAGGTTTTTCCCCCAGTCTCTAGTGAAACAGTTGTGGGGAAAAGATATCGCCAAGGATTTTCTGTACCTCTTTCATGTGGAATCTCCATTGTGTCACTGATCAGAAGTATCACCAGTTTGATGACTGCCAACTAGATTGTACCACTGGGATAACAAGTAGTGTTTGGCAATCACAGAAGACATATCAGAGGTGAAACTCAGCAGTGTTCTCTGCCGTTGTGTAACAGTCTTTCCTCTTGGTTTTGGTAGTTTCTTAATTTAGTGGGTGTTTGTAGGTGGAAGTCTGCCTGTGTGCCTTATCTATTGTGCAACAGATGTCTTTATCTGAGATATCCTCTTTTTTCTAGATTGTCCCCAGCCACCACAGCCTGAGAATGGAGGCTATAAGTGCCACCCTAGTCCCTGCAACAACCCTCTGACATCAGGCAGTGTCATTGAGTATCTCTGTGTTGAAGGCTACATGCTGAAAGGAGATTATAAATACTTGACCTGCAAGAATGGAGAGTGGAACCCAGCCATGGAAGTCAGCTGCAGGCTCAGCCCGGGTGAGTGCTCCCTGACTCCAATGGAACAGTCAGAGTTGCCCTTGCATTGGCTTTTCAGATTACCCTCAAACATTGAGTCAGTGTGATGTTGAGGAAGTCCATACAGCTGCCTCTCATTGCTCCAGCAATTGCATAAATGGGGCTCACAATCACAGCTCTTCATTAAAAATGTCTCTTCTGTAACAGCCCCTGAGATGCAGGCTCAGAGTCCCTAACACAAGGAGATAACCCACGGAAAGGAGTGTAAAGGAGGCAACTTGTTACTTAGGTGGAGCCTCTTATTTGACATCCCAGAAATGGGGGAGGCCCGAACTGAAGCATTGTCCCTGCTGCCTGGTTTTTCTCCTGATGACAGCACATCTCCCTTTGTGGCATACCTGTATGTCCACATGTGTGCACGTGCATGTGTGAGTATGTAGAGCCGATCTTCCACGCAGACAGGTTAAGTAACTGTTGGTTTCCTTTAGTAAAGAGCTCGATGGTGCCGCTTTTCACTGTACTGGCACGAAAGGACAATGCTGGCAAACGGTTTCTGCTTCTCTCCAAATGGAAGTAGACAGCTTTTGTTTTGTGGGTGTCTCCCAGCTGAACAGGAGTTCTTCCATCAAAGCAGGAAAGTAAAAAGGTTTGCAGGAAAATGTTCGTCATACAGCTCTTAGTTTGTCTACAGCATTTCTGGTTTTAATAGCATGCATACTGCGTAAAGAGAGAACTGCCTTCTCCAAGTTTGGCTGGATAGAGTCTTACTGCTCAGTCACCCTGAATCAGCAAAGTGTACACTCCAGAATGAAGTCTTGTAATACATAAAGCAAAATGTGTTAGCTTGATCAAAAGGAAACAGGAAAGTACCTTCTTCAAACTCTTTATGGAGCTCACTGCATACCCATGATCTTTGGAACATCCTGTCCTGTCCCAGAGACACTGTCTTCTTGGTGTCTCTGTCACAGCCACTCCAATAGCCTCTTCCTATGATGTGTAAGGAAGGGAACTGGGAGTTTACCTGTCAGTGACTAGATCCTGAAGAGGTTTTTCGAATCAGCATAAGCTTCCTTTCCAGAGTGGTTCCTTTCCTCTTGCTACGCCTGGGCTGGAGAACAAAGCTGTGCTTGCA